TTTTTTTTTTTCTTTTCAATATCGCACACCCCTAGTAGCCAGACTGAAGACTCAATAGCCCCGGTATGTCGGGCTAGTGATTTTGCGAGCCCTATATTCTCAATTATTGCTGATTAGACGTGAGTGCTGTTGCTGGACTGGTCTGGTCTCTTCTAAATCCAGGACAGATGTTGAAAATGATGATGAGAAGTAAACATCACGTGGGATTTCTTTCCGGTGTGAACATCATTTCATATTAAGCTTATTGTTTTTGTTTTTTTTCTTCTTTTCCTCCTGCAGTTCTGGTTCTTCACCAAATGCAAACATATTTGAAGAGGCGACATCTGCGCTGGGTAAATAAATCCACACGCGTTAGCATATTCACACATTCTCATTCATGTCAGGTGATGAGCTCTGTGGGATGAAGTGAGTTGGCGTGTGTTTTGCGTGTGCAGTGACGGGTCAGTCCTACGAGAACATGGTGATGGAGATCATGCTGATGGGATACGAGAGAGACAGAGTGGTGGCGGCACTGAGAGCTAGTTTCAACAATCCTGACCGCGCCGTCGAGTACCTGCTCACGGTGAGAGACCGACAGTCTGCATATAACACCACAAATCAGCGGATTACAGGGATTTAAGGCAAAACACATCAGGTTAGGAGGGTACAGTTTTAATTTTTAGGAATCGTAATACTTTCACCAGTTGATTAATCAAGTCAAGTCACCTTTATTTGTATAGCTCTGTATACAGTACTGATCGTGTCAAAGCAGCTTTACAGTATTAAACAGGAAAATAGTTTTTTCAGCAAAAGTCAGTTCATTGATGAGTCATCATCCAGTTCAGCTCTCTTCAATAGTGTCTGCAATCAGTCAATTAAAACACAGTACATTAAAGCAATTGTTTTGTATTACAAGTTTTCTGAAATGCTGTTTAAATATGCAAATGATGCATCAAACTAATTAAACATGCACTTATCTGCATGCATTTCCACATAAATCTGAACATTGGATGAAACCAGGTTCATTAGAGTTAAACGTTTTTGGATTTCTCTTTTTATCCCTCCATAAGTCAGAAAATACTGTACTGGAAACACGTTTTCACCATGTTTGTTAGGAGTAAAACGTTGTATAAATCAGTGCGAGTGACAAACCTTCAGAATACAGAGAGGAATAAAACTGAAAAGTGTGGTGAATGTAAGAGAAAAAAACTCTAAAGATATGGACTGAGATTGAAATCTACAGACCCAAATAGATAAAGGCCCGGTTTCACAGACAGGGCTTAGGTTAAGCCAGGCCATAGTTCAATTAGGACATTTAAGTCGTTTTTAGAAATATGCCTTTAATAAGAACATAACTGGTGTGCATCTTGAGGCAAAACAATGAATCTGACATATTTTAAGATCAGTCGGTGCAAGTTTCTTTCAGTTGAAACAGCTCAGACATGCGTTTTAGTCTGGGACTAGGCTTAAGCCTTGTCTATGAAACCGGAGGAAA